CTTCCAGCTGCCAGGGTCCGGGTCACAGGGCATGTTTATGTGGGAACTACACAAAGATGCGCTGCCTGTGGCAGTCTGGAAGGGCCAGGAAAGGAACACCCCAAGAGCTGCCCTCAACCAGTGAATCTTAAGGGGTGATGCATAGGCACCCCAGCTCTCTCACCTGGGGTGGGATAATTCTGAACCTCGTGCTTTGCACCATCTCCCTGAGTCTCTCAGGGGATAGTTTAGCTCCACTTTCTGAGTAATGTACCCTGTAATGGCTCCCTTCCTTCCCCTGAGTCTCTTCCCTACTTCCCAACTACTGTTTCCTGCATTTCCCAAATAAACCACTTGCACTCAAATCCCCGTTCTCAAAGAACACAGGCTAGACATTCATGGTTTAGAAAGGCTGATATACTGATGTGATATTTTGCAGGGAACTACATTTTAGGGCCTTGGCTCTTCTACCAATGCCCTTCATCCTCTACCTTCTTGGCTTTGGAGATCCCTTCATGAATTCCTACCTTTGCTGCCCTGTCAGCTGCTCTCTCTCCTCTTTAGTTCTTCAAACACTCCTTTTTCTCTACCTTAGAAAAGGCTACCACTTGCCTCTGCAGTGCCCTTCAGCTATAGTTCTTTATTTTTCCTTCCCTGCCAAACTTTCAAATGAGCATCTGAGAAAATTGCCTTTATTTTCTCTCTTTTCAGTTTTTGCTTAACCACTGACAATTTGGGTGCCATTGTCACACTTTAGTCTAACAGTCCTCAAATTCCCACTAACAACCTTCTTCTTGCAAAATGTAGAGATCCTTTTTCTGTTTGCTTGTCATTTCTGTTACCGTTGAGTGTCTTGTCAACATTTTCTTCCCGAAAATGGTGTCTTGAGTAATTGAATTCTTAGAACTTTAACACTTGGAAGGGACATTTAGTCCAACTCCTCATTTTATATCTGGGTGAAACTGAGGCCCAAAAAAGACAAATGATTTGCCTGGTGAGGTCCAAAAATATAAAAGCCGGGCATTGAATCCAGGGCTTCTGACCTTGATTATGATCTCTCATAAGAACTGCTTTTGGTAAGTCCTGATCCAAACCTTCGAAATATTCCTGATTTTTATTTCTCCCGGCTCCTTCCCTCCACTGCCCATTCTCCACTGCAGCAGTCAGGATGATGATGTTTCTAAAGTATAAATCAGAACCGATCACTCCCTTGCTTAGCCCTTAGCTCCTCTTTACTGCACCAACAATAAAATCCAAACTCTTCTCTGTGCCTTGCGAAACCCTCCGTGGTCCAGCTCTCTTTCTGATTCATTTCCTGCTAGTCTTCCTCTTGTAGTCACTGTGCTCTACTTAATTGGCAAAGGAAGCCTCTCCCTCAGCCGAGCAAGGCACCCCCAACCCCGCCCCGCTCCGCCCTGCCACTGGGCATTTGCTTTGCTAGTCCTTGTGTTTGGAATAGTTTTCCCGACCACTGCACAGCTGCTTCCTCTTTTGTATGGCCTCAGCTCAAATGCCCACCTCCTCAGACAGCCTTACTCTGATGTCACCATCTAACATTGTTCCTAACCATACCTCTGTCCATCACGTTATATTGTTTTATTTTCTTCATAGCATTTACTACTGGCTACAATTATATTACAGATTTGATTTGGAGTTTGTCATATTTCCCAACATTATAATATAATTTCCTGGGCTATAGGAACCTTTTCTTGTTTGCCATATATCCAGCACCTACACAGCAAATGGCCAAGTCAGTGCTCAGTAAACATTTGTTAGATGAACAAATGAACGAATGAATTGTCTGAATTTTTTTTAGTCTCATTTCCAAGAATCCTTTCTCTCCAATTCTATTATTCAGCTACTCTCTTAAAAATTTTTTTCTCTACAGAAATCAAACTGGTTTCCTTATAAACCTGTATGGACAAAACTTACTCCCGACTAGGAACATTTTCCCTTTGACCAAACTTCTACTCTATGCCTCTCTATTTAAATTATATCACTACATCCAAGAATAAGTCCATGAAATCCATTTCATGAAATTATAGCCCTCATTGATTGCCCCTTCTTCAAATTATGTAAAATGACCCTTGCATTTTATGTAATCTGAATACTCATATATATAATCTATATTCTCTTTAGTTGTATCCAGTCATTTCACATCATAATATTTAGGCACTGTGCCTAGCCACTTTAAGTATGTGCGCTTATGGTCGTGTGTCCTCATTATTTGTAGATTCTGAATCTACAGATTGCCTACTCACAAAAATTTATTTGCAACCCCAAAAGCAATACTTGTGGCACTTTCATGGTCATTTATGGACATGCACAGAGAAGTGAAAAATTTGCCACCTGTGGGTCACATTTCCACTAAGACTGAGCGGCACTCTGCCTTCTTGTTTTAGCTCTCATGCAATATGCAAGTCTCCTTTTTGTGGTCTATTTAGTGCCGTGTTTTCTGCATTTTCCACTTTTTGATGGTGATTTCACTGTTTGAAATTGCCCCGAGCATGATGTTGATGTGCTGTGCATAGTGTTCCTAAGCATAAGAATGCTGTGATGTGCCTTTTAGAGAAAATATGTGTGTTAGATGAGATTTGTTGAGGCATGAGTTACATTGCTGTTGGCTGTTAGTTCAGTGTTAATGAATCAACTATATATATATTAGAAACACACACTAAGATTGGTTATATATTGATTTGTTGATGAAAATGTTGTGACCAGAGGCTCATAGGAACCTAACCCTGTATTTTCCCTACGAATAATAATTCTATAGTTGCTAATTCCGAGTTTATGACAACTTTATAGAACATAGCTACTGTGAATAATGAGAATTTACTCTATAGTACGTAATTATATGTATGTTGTCCTTAGCCTCATTTAGGAGTTTGAGACAAATATACCAAGACTTATTGAAATTAAGTAATTTGCAAAGATCGGCTGCTAAATAAATGATAGATCTGAGATCCAGCTGTCAGATTCCAAAGTCTCCTGGCTTTTCTTTTACCATACCAGTGTCTGTTCTTTGTTTTAATTAGCTGTAGAACTCTAATTATTACATAGTACCTCAATACACACACACACACACACACACACACACCTGGGCATGCACTACATAACATGCTGTACAAGTTTGTAGCCTAGGAGCAATAGGCTATACCATATAGCCTAGGCATGTAGTAGCCTGTATCATCTAGGTTTGTGTAAGTACACTCTGTGATGGTCACACAACAGCAAAATCACTAAGGACACATTTCTCAGAATATATCCTTGTCATTAAGTGATGTATGACTGTATGTGTATACATGTAAAACACAAGTGGAAATTGCTTACTGAGAAATGAAAAACCATAATTCACACAGAGAAGTAAAATGAAGATGATAATAATTTTTAAAACAGCTTGCTTTATAATCTCAGGTTAATGTTTGCTTATAGTGATCTCAGATCATAAAAGAGAAGTTGAAGGACTGCTTTATTTCAAAACTTAGTTGGTAGTAATATCTATAAACTTCATATTCCTTATCATGGAAGTGAAAGTTTGACAAGCAACCAAACTTTAAACAAATAATCAAAAATAACAGCTATAAAAAAATGCTTTTGTGACCTGAATTTGTTTCCTAGCCTATGGATGTGCACCTTAATCCTGCCTGGCATTTATCTGAGCTAAACTCACACCTGCTATGAAAGTGAACACACCTGTACATTCATATGGCCTCATTTCATAAAGAACTACCACCTTCCTGATCAATTGTGCATTTATAGATATAATGATAACAGGATAAATTACATATTGCAATCTGTACAGAGCAGATTAACATGGATCAATTTACTGAGTTTATAGTCTCCAGTGTTATATATATATATACACATATATGTTTAGTACATATGTGCACATATATAAATATATTTTATATACATCATAATTTATTTAAAAAAAACAATTTAAATCAAATATTTTTGAAACCTTGAAAGTATCCTGATAAACACTTTGAAAACCCTGTTCTTCTTCTTCTTGTTCTTTTCTAAGTAGATTGTATGAGTACCTTGAGGGTAAGAATTATATCTTTTATGCTTCTGTACTTGCAAATTGATCTTAGCTTACAACTAAATATAAAGAAATCTTTCACCATTGATACTCTAGTTTAGCTCAGATGGTTGACAACCAACTATATTAAAGATTTCTGTAGTGTTGTATTTCGAATTAAAATGATGGAATGATGTCACCTGGTTGTGCATAGCAAAGGTCTTGATATGTGTACAAAATGGATAGGATTTCTTTCATATGATATTCTCTTGATATTTCTTTTCCCATTGAAAACAAGAGCCAAGCATGAGGCTCCACTTAACACTTTTCAGCTTCCAAATAGCTACCAGAGACAAGGTTGAGTAAGGAGCTTCCAACAGGGAGGCAAGACAAGATACTGTTTTATGTCTGCTTCAGGGATATACAACGAATCCTGAAGTGCTACAATAGGGACTAAGGGGTCCATAGAAACTGTGTCGTCATTGAACTGAAAGAACTAATTGATTTTAACTTAGAATTCTGAAATCACTATTATTTCAGTATTTTGTGATGTTTTATATTCCCTTAATTAAATGGGTACATGTCCACTGGTTTTAATGATCCTATTTTGAGGAGCTAAGCCTTTCACAAATCAAGGTATCAAAATTGATGTGTTTTTCCCCAGTTTAAAGCACAGCTGAATTCCATTGTGCAGATAAAATCGGATTAAGCACATGACTCCACCTATGGCTTTGCTGGCTTGGTCACTTCTCCACCTGGGCAAAGGACATGTGCATTCAGAGAAAGTGACCCAATGCCTGAGTCCTGCCAGGGTCCAGTTAAAATATCTACTGTCTTTACTAGTTAGTGTAAGCACCACTCAGAATTTGCTTAGCAAAACCTCTGCCTCTGCCTCAGAAGAGTGCACAAGGGGTAGGAGGATTCCAGCCTTTTCAGCCTTAACACTCATGTTGATTTTTCAGTGGAGATTATTGAAAACCATAATTCTCTTTTGCTTCAGGAAACACTGTCAGAAGAAGAGAGGAAACACAAGGAAGCTTTGGAAGATCTTCACATGGTGGTGGATGAGGATTCGAGGAGCGAAAGCAGCAGTGCAGACGAAGGAAAAGAAAAGACCAAATTGCTGTTAGAGAGATTGAAAGCTCTAGAGGTAGGAAATGAAACGATTTTTACATGTTTAAAGAAAAGTAACTGTTCTGCTTCTTTCGTTGGCCCTGCTTTTGAGTGAGTATAAATCTTCCTTCCTCACTTCCCCCAGACTGAAACAACCTCGTGTCTCCTACTGAGATTCATCTGTCTGTGATGAGCAGCAGGTTAAAATTTGCGGCACTGAAAGGGTCTTGACCTAATGACTATGATTATATTGCCTCAAAAAGAGAGTATATAAGGACAGTAATTGACTTTAAAGTCAGCCCTGAAATTGGAGCAGTTCCTAAAATTGCAAGCTCATGAAGGAAGGAGCTCTGTGATATTTCACCTTGTTTTCCTAATGCGTGATAAAATGAATGAGTGAGTAACGGAATAAGCAAAATATTTAATAGTATGTAAAGATGATTATAATATATATGTAAAAATATAAATTTTAAGCGGTAGAACTATTTCGTTAAAAAAAGACTTGTGTAGGAGTTTAACATGTAAAGCATATGAAAATGGAGCTGAAACTGGGCTAAAGGGTCCTTTAACGAGATTTGGGGGGCATTACAGTCCTTCAAATCACAGTTTAAACACCACTGGTCTATTACTTAGTGGCATTTGACATCATTTCAGGTGTTAGATGCAGTAATTAAACAACATTTTAGTTATTAGTTCTTGATTGAGATTTCATGCGTTGAAAGCCTTAGTAAGGAAGGGGCTGTCATCACCTAACATCGAAAAACGTAGCTCTACCTTAGAGTCTACAGAGTCCTGAAAACTCCAATAATGTGAAGAAATAAGGCCCGGAGAGGTCTTGGTTCCTATGCTTGGCTTCCGCAATCCTGCCTGTGGCCGCCCACATTGTCTATAAGTGAGCATGTCCTTTTTATGCGGTTCCCTTAGAGATAGTAAAGCCAAATGGTTAAGATTATGGACTCTGGAGCCAGATTTTCAAGGTTTGGTTTGAATCCCTGTTCTACTACTTTCTAGGCTCAAAACTTTCAAAGTTTCTTAGGCTCTCTATGCTTTGGTTTCCTCAGCTGAAAAAATGAGAAGAATAATAGTAACTAACCGTACAGGGAAGAAATGAGGATTAAATTGTATTTAATTATTTTTACAATGGTGCCTCCTCTGTCCATCTGTACCAAGGCTGCTGCTTTTCCTTAAATCATTTTTTCCTATTTATCTGGATATAATGATTGATACAAGAACTGTGAATGAAAAAATATACTCCAAAACAAGTGTGAATGAAGGCAACAAGGAAAGGGGCGATGCAAACACAGGGCAGAAGAGAGGTCAACTAAGGGAACCCTCTGGGCAGTTCCCTCTGAGAAAAGGACCAGAAATCACCTATCTGCTGAAGAGTTCTCATACTTTTGTTATTTTTAAAGATAGTCATTGTAAAAGGAAGGAAGACCTTCTCAAGAGACCCTGAGGTTGCTATTTCAGTCTTAATAAACTCACAGCTTTGTCCCAAGGTTGAATTAACTAGATTCACAGTAGGAATATATTCATATTATAATTTCTTACTTCCATAGAACCATGCAGTTAAATTATTAGTTTTTGTTTATGATTATAATAAAAACTGTTCTTAGTTCATCTCTTTGCCAGAGACAACTTTGTACAGGGTATTTTATCTATTTGAGCTAAGAGTTATTTTAACAATATTTTTAGCAGCAAATGTTTCTTAAACTTTACTGAGTAAAAAGAAGTAATATTTCTTTTTTCCTTCCACAGAGATCTTTACACTTCAGGCAACAACTCTTATGTCCAGCTTTAGTTAGATGCAATAGTTGATTTCTTTAAATGCCATTAAGCCCCAAAATTTTAATTTACAAAAATATTTTCAAAGTTAATTCCCTCTAGTCACAGAGTCACTTCTTGTTTCTTAAAATTACTTGTTCAATATTAAGTGATAAATTAAGTAGAGGATAGATAAATGTCTCTATCCTCTATTTGAGAAAATAATAAAAAGATTATTTTATAATATGAAGTAATATAAATATACATTCATAAATATGCTTATAAATATATTTTATTATAGACAGAGATCTCTTTATATATAAATCTAATTTTCATATATATTTCTTGTGCTACTTTTTTTAAGATTTAATATGTATTCTCAGTGTATAGGATCTTCTGCATAGATTAAAAAATGTTGTGGGAAAATACAGGGCTCATTTTGACAGACTGCAACCAGAGCTAGTCACAAAACCCCCATGTGGATTTATACACTTTAACAAAATGCTCTTTTGGAAGATTGCAGGGGAATTAATCATAATGTGTCAAAATTACTTTGGCAAAAATTGATGTTATATAGCAAGATTTTTTTAAAAAACAGTATTTTCCATCATTATATTTTTTAAACAACCATATTTGTATGTCCATCTTTTAGCTCCTGGTATTGTGAGAAGCAGAAGAATAATTTTTTAGGGTGATGGAAAGCACTCTTCATTAATTCCTGCTCCCTAAATAGGTCCCAAGAAGGTGTGACAAAGGAGATGCAGAGGTGATTCTGATATTATGTTCTTGATTAATATGACAATAACATCCATAAACAGCTTAAACTGTAGCTGAGGAGTCACTGACTCTGAGAATTAAGTTAGTAGTGTCTGTGAACTGAAATAGAATCAACACCCCCTACTGACTGAATGGACCTCCTATTGGCCAAGGGGACCCCAGAGACCTGAAAACAGAGTTCCCAGCCATGACAGGATGGGAGGTCAAGCACACCTTGTTATACCCCCTCCTTCACTAACTGACAGCTATCAATCTTTCTTCCTAAGTCCTAACAGAAACCAATCTCATGACTGCTCCTCCCTTTTTGCAGTTTCAATATGACAACTGAGCAGCATTCCTTCCTGATAAGAGAACACTGACCATGGGGTGGTTCTGACCAGTCTATGGAGGCTGTGCGGAGAGGGTTTTCGTGTCCTCTGCTTCATCTTTTGACATCAGAGGGCCAAAAACTACACACTGAGATCATTCTAAGAACGTCACTTTCTGAACATAGATTCTACAAAGGGGCATGAAATTCAATTGTTCATGTGCAATTTTCTCCTTTCATAAATATTCATGACTCCTCCTATAGCTTGTTAAATATGTATATTTGGCCACCCTGCTCTGCATAAATTCCTGTTCCCTTTGTCCCTCCCTGGAAAACATGCTAAGCTAGAGTCTAAAGCCTTGTCAGATGGCCACCCTGCAGGCTGCAACCCTTCATGAGAAATAAAGCTCTTCTTTCCAAATGTATGAACCTCATCATCCTTCAGTTGATGGTCCCCAGCTTCTCATTCCCCCACCTGAGCAAAGCTTAGTGGCCCACTTCCCCATCACAGGGTCATTTCCTCTGTGGCTATTTCTGGGGCTAGCTGGGCTCCTACTCACATTCAACTTTCAATCTCTCTCTTTTCTCAGCACCAAGCTCCTGTGAAACAGAGCCCCCCTTTAGTGGATTTTACCAGAATCCAGCCCTACAAAGGGTATGGGGCCATGGCAGAGTATTCAAAGGTTAAGGGCCTTCCAGTTGGTCTTTTAATTGCTCTGTGTCCTCAGTGCTTTGCATACAGGGCATTTCTCATAGCCTTTCTCCTCAGTCCCCAGCCCCCTGCCTGATAACTTGGCCGGCCCTTCCCTCTTGGTCCCCAGAGCACAGCCAAGTTCTGCCCGTTATTTAGTCTACAGAGCTCATTAGGGCTCTGCATGGACGCTTCGTGGGCTCATTCCATACCATTCTGGAGCTCATCAAAATAATTTGCTAAGTAAGACCTTTATAGTCCTAAAAACAACTCCAAGGCCAACAATGAAAACAGTAATTACACACACACACACACACATTTTTCCTTCTCCTCTTAGCAATTGTTTTCTCTACTGAGTGCCTTGGTTTCAGCCACTTTTCAGCTGTTCATGGAGAAAAGGAATAGGCCACTGACCCTCACTAACCACCATGTGTTCCCCTGGGCCTGAATTCTGATGCTTGTTTTGGGTCTTGATGTGTGGTGGAGAAATCATTTGGTGTATTTTATGTTTGTGTCATAAGGACCAGGTGGACAATCTGGATACCACTTGCATAACTTTTCAGTGCCCAGGTGGTGTTTTTTATGTTTCTTAAAACTTTGAGTTTTGAAGGCTGTTGTTCCAGAGATTGCTTAATTGGCTTAGCAAAAAGTTCACTGTTCTCAACAGCACTACTGCCCTGTCACAGGTCCCTTCTATAAAAGGATCACTCCTCTCTCCCACCCACCCTATGCCGATGATTCCAGGGATCTGCCCAGACCTGCCCTGCAGGATCCACTGGCATCACTTGAGTCTGCCCTGTTCTCTACTCTTGGGCATTTGCCTCAGGCCCCGGGTTTGCTCCTGGCGTGTTCCTTGAAATACCTGATCTGCCTGTCTCCAGGCCCCCCTACTTAAACTGTCAGCAGCGCTTTCTCTCTGCTCATGGACTGACTTCACACTTGACTAAAAATCAAGTTGGACATACCCTTTGCTCACTCCCACCCCCCTTGGCATCTCCGATTCTCAGACTCCAGCTGGGGGAGCATAGGCCCAACACCACCCGAGAGTGCTGCGCCTCCAAATAATCGCTGATGCCTTAGCTGTGCCCTCAAGGTCAGAAGAACGTGGCTTTCTATAGGAATGATTTATTTTATGCAGAAAAATATGGCAATTAAGTGTGTTAAGGTGAATAGCACCCTTTTCTACTAAATTATACCTTTCCACGAAAGTGTGACAATTAAAGTGCTAAGCATAAGCATTTCGTTAATCAGTAATTCTTGTTTAAAATTAGGTAGTTTAAAATAGTCAAACCTGGCTGTGCATCACAATTATATGTAAAACTTGTAGTTAATAGATAGCTATTGAATATCTTCTGTGGCCCAAAGGATGTTCTATATACAGGGATTAGATCAGTTTTCACGGTCCCTATCCATTGGGCAGAGACAGGAAGCATGTGCTTAAATAAAATAATAAATAAACAAACAAATAAACAGATAACAAAGTTCCTCTGAACAAGAA